CGAAGTGGCGCATCGACGCCGACTGGAGATACTTACTGATGGACTCTAAGCCCAGGTCGTCATGGAGGTCATCAATTGCATTTTCTTATCAGCTTTAAATAAAATAGTTTTTGTGGTTTTTGTAGTGCTTACAGTTCTTATGTCCTTTTTTATTTCTCTATCTTATTTTAATAACATTCAGCGCCTTTTTTAAAGGACATAGGCCACTCTCCATACATTGCACGGCCCACTAAACGAAGTTCCACTAAAGGACAGTAATGAAATTAAGTTTAAATAACAGACTATGTATCCCTTTTATTATAAACAAATTAAAATCAATATTGTTCATGGGGATACAGAGATATTTAAAAAATAAGATAAGATTTTTAGGTTACCTATATCATATGATTTGCTGTTAATACACTTACACTTTACATCATCATCAGCTTAAATATTATTTATATTACTATACTTCATAACACAGACCTAATTCAATGAACGCCAAGACTTAATTTTATGCACAAAAATATAATAAGCAGGTATATCGCAACGAAACACTTATTAATATCCACAATGCGCACGAGTGCGAAAAGGACTCTAAAAGGACTTATCAAATGTAAAACGTCAATAAACATTAAGCAAGCGTAGTTTTGTTTTTGCTTATGATCAATAATGATTGATCAATGTAATGATTTATTCTACGGATTTAAAAGTATAAAAATACTTTTGTTTAGATATAATGTTTTATATTAGTTTTAAAATGCATTAATTAAATATGTTCATATATTTTGCTAGTTTGTTAAAATATAAATATATTTTACCTATGGCAACTCCTTCAATATTATCAATGTAGCTTAGTCATGCTAATTTCTTTTTATTTATGATTTTATTTATCCCACCATTAAAATACCCTTAAATTTTATAATAAGTAGGTATGTAAAAATGAAATGTTTTTTTCTATAGATATTTCATTTGTTTTGAAAGCCTAGCCACTGAGCCGAAAATGGCCCATGTCCTTTACCTGATTGCTACTGTAGCGCCACCCTTATTTAGCAGATTTTAACGAACACTTTTCACACACAGTCCTTTACCTGCAGTCAAACTGTGTAAGCAGTTTTGCGGGCATGGTTTAAATGAAAGTGTAACTTTTTATTAATAAATAAATGACATACATACATACAGAGACGGTTCTCCTTAACTCTACCCTCCATTTTTTTTATTATACATAAACTGTAAGTAAATAAAACGGCGAAAAAATTCTTATTATTTGATACTGGCTAATGCACAAACCGTATAGCCACAGAAAAAATAACTGCGGCGAGGAATATCCGAAAATTAAATCAAACGAATCACGCGTTGACGAGCTCATGACCCACCAGATTTTAATGTTTACCGGAGCCCTTAGGCGTAATTACATGATAGCCGTTACTCATACTGAGATCGAAAGCTCATTCATTTTTATTTACAGGTATCTCACACTTCCTACCAGAAAGCATAATAGTGCGTTTTAAAAACCACAAGTTCGGCCCCCCGTTTTGCCCATTACACTGCTAGCCACTAGAACGGAGCTCATCTATCCGGAATCGCTGCATTCATCCACTGTGCGTTTACAGATATCTTTTTGCCACGTACAAATCCGGCTTTGGAATAGAATTTCCTCTACGCTATTTCCCAAACACCATGACATGTCTTTTTTCAAACATGATTTGAGGAGAATTATCAGCAGTAATTTCAAAAGGCAATCATCAGGCATTTGCGAAATTCACTGAACGTTACACGAAACGATGCTATATGAGTGACGGTGACTACTTTTAACCAGATGAGCAATATACTCGTCTGCGTACAATCGAGTGGACGGCGTTAAGGGATATGAAAAGTCATGAAATGTATTGTTAGAGCAGTCGTCGTGCCCAAATGGATAAGACGTCCGGTGCATTCGTTTCGAACGATGCAACGGTGTTCGAATCCCGCAGGCGTGTACCAATTTTTCTAATGAAATACGTACCTAACAAATGTTCACGATTGACTTCCACGGTGAAGGAATAACATCGTGTAATAAAAATCAAACCTGCAAAATTATAATTTCCGTAATTACTGGTGGTAGGACCTCTTGTGACTCCGCACGGGTAGATACCACTACCCTGCCTATTTCTGCCGTGAAGCAGTAATGCGTTTCGGAAGGATGGGGCAGCTGTTGTAACTATACTGAGACCTTAGAACTCATATTTCAAGGTGGGTGGCGACATTTACGTTGTAGATGTCTATGTGCTCCGGTAACCACTTAACACCAGATGGGCTGTGAGCTCGTCCATCCATCTATGCACAAAAAAATATGTAAAAAGTTTTAAATAATGACAATAGTAGCAATCAACAGGTTTACCTATATCTCATGAATCGGTTTCTTCTTATAAAATCAAATTTGAATAACTGAAATCAATTTATTAGAATTTTATAGTTACAATATTTACAACGGCTGCCGCACCCTTAAAGCCGAAATGCATTACTGCTTCACGGCGGAAATAGGCGGGGTGGTGGTACCTACCCGTGCGGTCTCACATGAAGTCCCACCACCAGTAAGAAGTCAGTGAACTTGAGAGGCCTGAAAAGAGGAAAACAGTGAACCTACAGACTGTGTTACATTGTACAGGCCCTTCAATAAGTTTTCTCATGCCAAAATCTAGTGTTTGAAAGGATCTTCCTACACAGAATATCACGCATTTTGAGCGAAAACTCAATAACTCCTAATCACGAGTTTGGCTTTAGACAAAAGCGCTCGATTCGACTTCCGAGTGCGTGAGGGCGAGGAGTTTTTAGACTTTTACGACATACAAGCGGTTATACCATAGGGTTCTGCACTGGGATCTGTACGCTTTTCTCGACTGTTCTTCCAAAAAGTAATGATGTTACTATTGCTAAATTCGCAGACGATACCGCCCTATTGGAGAAAAACATAAAGGAACCCAAAGTAGCAAAGTTTCTATAAAAATTGGGAATCAAAGCAAGTGCAGCGAAATCTATATCGCCTTCACTCTGTAAACTCTAGTCTAGATTACAATACGCCGTATATGGAAAGCATAAAACATAAAATGCTAAAAGAAAACTCTATTGAAATTACACAAATAGTAATGGTTAAATTGTAATAACAATGAAACTTTGTAATTTACTAATGTAAATATTTTTTTCATTTGAATCGTAAATCTGATATTAAAGCTATGTGGTCCGATGGAAAAACAACACTTGGTAAGGCAACGTTGGCTTTTAACTCATCTATACTCGGGAACGGAATTACCTGTGAAACAAAATATAGTTTTTTATTAAAAGCTTAGGTAAAGATGTCAAAAGTAATGTATAAGATCTAAGTTTGCCCTTTATATACGTATCAAGTGGTTACTCTCAGCTCTACGGTTATTCTTCGACAAATAGCGCTGACTCCGGATCACGTGGGAGACAGTCACCGTCGCGTCGACGCCCTAGATATGTCCTTAGGGATCCTTCCGATCCACTAACACGCTGTTTCCCAACATGGAGCCCACGCCCACAAGGGGGATTTTGATAATTAAGGGGTCAATTTCAGAATGGACTCGACACGACTTTAACACTTTCGCTCCGGGCTATTTAAACGCAATGCTAGATATCGGTGACAAATTAACAAAAAAAAAAAAAAACATAAAAAAATGCTTTAAATAATTATTAAGTAAAATTTCGTTTGATGTTACTAAAATATCAACTGGGTGATTAGAGCCGTCAAGTAAACTTCGTCGGGGATTCACCGCGGAGTATGTTGCTTGCCGTGGGGAACCCCGGATGTTTTAAAACTCGCTAAACAACGCTGTTGTCCGCACCTAATCGGCCCAACTCAACTTTTGTAGTGTATCACTACTTTACATCTTCATATTTAGCTGGGTGTAGATTTAGTGCTGTAAATGATTTACTGATAAAAAAAAAAGAAATAAGACTGGATATAACACAACGTGGAGACTTGAGATTAAAGCTAACTAAATTGGGTATTAATATAAAATCTCTGCGCAGCAAGCATCAAGCGCAAGGATCGGACTAAATTAATATAGAAAATCTGTATTAAAATTATTTTGAACTTGAATTTCAGTTTTTTATTATATGTTTTGAAATATTACTTACTGTGTTTTGATAACAAATTCTTTTCTTCCTAAAACCTATCATTTATGTTTCTTAAGTGAACAAATAAATTTTTTAACGTTAAAAATGATGTATGGGAGGCATACAAATTTTAGAAATGTTACAGTAGGCATGGCAAAAAAAGATCGGGAAACACTGCACTAACACTATTATTAGACGCCTGCAGCTCTAGCACTAGGAGCATGCTTAGGAAACTTGGTAACCGTACTCGTCTAGCTCAGCAAAGAGTTCGACGTATAACCTAACCCATACATTAACTCGCCGAGTTTTTTCACCGGATCTTCTCAGCTCTAATCCTTTCTATATAAAAAAAACTAAATTGTCCCTTTGAAAGTTCCGTGACATTTTAAGAAACATGTCAAGTGGATATTAATATGCAAAGTTCGATTGAGCTCCAAAATGGTTGTGCGGCATTATGTCACCAGCGTATATAAATGGCAAGGGCAGCACACAAATCGAAAGTTCAAATTTAGGCTTCAAATGCACTAGGAGTGATCCGAGGAAAAACTACTGTTTAACGAAGGGGATGATGTAGAGCACCATGGAATTAATTTAATTCCCACAATCACAAGCACAGCACAGAGAAAAAAAGGCACAGTAAAATCTATTTACAATTTTACTACATTTTTACATATAACATGAATTAACTATTATAACGGAACGTAATTTCCGAACGTGCGATACCGCCCCCGCCGCCGCCTTACCGCCCGCTGAGACAGAGCTCTCTGAGCGCGAAAACAGACGCCCTCAGCGCGCGCGACGACGACCAGTAAAATATTGCGAGTCTTAGTGTAACTGTTCGATTCTCAACTCATTTTGTATTTTGTTAGTTATTGTGTCGCTTTTTTTTATATTAAAACCTCATACCAAATCAGTGTAAACATTATTTATATATCATCTTCGCCAACAGCCCGGAACAACGAACTCACGAAAACTCACAAAAGTCCGCCAGTCGGACTTGTAGTGTTAAAAATGGCGCCCGAACGTTTAGCTGTGAAGTGATATATGAAAGTATTGTGCCTACATGAACGATTTGTGTTTTCCTGACTTTACCGACTAAACCGTCGTCAAATAATGCCGCCGAAGAAGATGCCGAATTCCGAGGAGCGCGACGCGAGAGCCGCGTCGCCGCCCCACGCGCCGTCGAGTGACGCGCCGCCCGCCAGTGTTTGCTTCCGCCCGGAAGACATCACCATGCTGATCGACACCCTTCAACGAACGCAGCTAGACGCNACCGGTCAGGTCTCAGCTCCAGTACAGCCTCGACGCCTGCGTGGACGGCCCCGTCTTGTTGTTTCTGCCGAGCCACTAACGAGGCGTTCTAGTGACTCGGAGGGGGAGGATATAACGGAACGTAATTTCCGAACGTGCGATACCGCCCCCGCCGCCGCCTTACCGCCCGCTGAGACAGAGCTCTCTGAGCGCGAAAACAGACGCCCTCAGCGCGCGCGACGACGACCAGTAAAATATTGCGAGTCTTAGTGTAACTGTTCGATTCTCAACTCATTTTGTATTTTGTTAGTTATTGTGTCGCTTTTTTTTATATTAAAACCTCATACCAAATCAGTGTAAACATTATTTATATATCATCTTCGCCAACAGCCCGGAACAACGAACTCACGAAAACTCACAAAAGTCCGCCAGTCGGACTTGTAGTGTTAAACTATGTATATTATTATGCCAATAATTAATTATAATTATGGCAATTAAACATTTGGTAATACTTAATAATTGTCCATGCTATTTATAGTTCTGTAGTGGACATTTTATATTTTGGAGTTTAATAATATAGTAATCCCCCTTATAAAGCGGTACTCTTTATGCATTTTCATATTACGCGATTTCAGTCACTTGTATTACGCGGGTATTCCCCGACATAATGCGGGGATTTCACACGATATATTCCTGTATGTACTGAGGTGTGGGGCCTAGATGTTGTTGATTAAAACACGTATTGTCTGTGCGACGACTTTAATTATACTGAACTGACTTACATACTACAATACTGTGAAATTTATAATTATCTGTACAGTTCATAATTAACTTCGTGTAACTTTGCACATTGTGTTGTGTTGTTATAAAATGAAATGAAATGAATTTGTTAAATTGTATGGTGTCCCTAGTTTTTTAATTGTAAAAACATTGTTTATATTGTATTATATTTGAACATAACGCGTTATATGGGGTCATACAAGTGCATTATGCCAGAATACTCCTTCAACGCGTTTCCTATCACGCTGAACCAATGCACCGTGTTATAGGGGAATTACGGTATAAAATAAATACCTATTATATTAAATTAATAATAAAATAGATAGCCAACCTGTTCAACCTCTAAACTGGATGTGTCATAAAATATATAATCCAAACAATCAGCAAATTCAGCAGTAAAATTTGTGTATGTTGGTGTACCACATGCACTGGCCAGTAAAATATCCTGCTCCAGATTCAAACCTTGTACACTTTCGGTCTCATCTAGAAAAATAAGTGGCAGTTGTAGTGGTTAAGGCGGTAGGGCAGGTAGGTAATGAAATCTATGTTAGCCCCGACTGGAGTGCACTACCTATTACTAAAATAGTAATATAGACCAGTTTAAGGTGGTGGAATGTAATCTTGTTAGTTTTCCCAAAACATCGTACCTATCAGCCCTAACGAGGCCTAACAGCAAAACAATAATTCCTGCACAAGTGGGACAACGACCGCATCTGATTCGTAACCCATTGAAAAGATCCTGCGACAAAAGCCGGTAAGCTGATGTTTTGGGCTATTTCATGTTGTTGGTTGCTACTAGCAATTCGTACTAGTAGATTCCAGTAGCACCAAGAGATCAGGAAGATCTGTAAGGGCCACCTTAGACCTACAATAACATTGAGAAGCGCTCTCAATCCAAACGATTAATTAAATTGCACAATAATACGAACCGCACAATGTTCTCGCGTTCAGTCGCGCGCCTGTATCTACTCCTTGTTAAGACGGACCACAGATTGAAAAACATTGCGGAATAGTGTACGATACACGACGCAATGAAAAAATATGGTGCAATAAAAATTAAACTAGTTCAAACTTTCGTTCAATCATTGCACAATCTTCAATATTAACTCTATATATACCTAGTCTCGCTATAAATACTGAGACAAAGGGAAAAAAAATTCTATTGCAAATAACATTTATTATTTTTACAGTTTAATACATAAATATAAAACAATTTAAAGTATAAAAAGCTTATTCGAAGTGGTCTCCATTCGCTGCAATACAGTCCTTTAAACGTTGAGGCCAGTTATCAATAGAAGCACGCACTCTTTCCAAAAATTTTCACTGCCAATCGTACGGATTGTTTTAGGGACTCCAAATTATCATGGCGTTTAGAGCAAGCCGTACTCTCTAAAACTGACCATAAATCATAATCCAGCGGATTAAGATCGGGATGAAGTCCGAAACGTTCGTTTCCAACCAAGACTGCGTAGACCGAGCTTTATGACCTGGCGCCGAGTCTTGCTGGAAGGACCATTCTTGATTATTGAACATGGTGTTGTTAAGGGGCTTCACTACCTTCACAAGAATGGTATCTTGATACACTTGTGCCGATGTTTTGATACCTTTTTCACAAAAGTATGGCTCAGTCACTCCTTCATAGCTAATACCCCACCAAACCATCACTGAAGTCGGATAGTGCCCACGTTGCACTCTGTCGACTAATTGGGAAGCTTCCTTAGAGCTTTGAGCATAAATACGGTCATTATGTTTGTTAAAATGTTGCTCAATTGTAAAAAATTTCTCATCCGTAAACAAAAATTTTCTATGACCTCCCTTTGCGTACCGCTTCAGTAGTTGTTTCGATTTTACCACCCTATTCTCTTTTAAATTATCTGTTAAGAAATGACCAGTACGTCTCTTATAGGCTGCAAGTCCTAAGTCATCTTTTAAAATACGCGACATGGTTCTAGGTGCTATCTTCATCTCCCGAGATAAAATCTTTTGCTTTCGGACAGGATTTCTTCGAATTCTTTCCCTTACTGCTTTGACCACCTTTTCGGTACGAACACTACGTGGACGGCCAGATCTTTTTCTGTCACAAACAGAGGAGGTCTCATTGCACCTATTAATAGCCCGGTACACAAACATTTTACAATACCAAGCGTATGGAGAGTTTTAAAATTTGCATTTGGCTCCATACCTACTTTGTGTAATGCAATCACAGCGATTCGGTTCTCTTTATCACCCCACTCCATTTTAATATCGCAAAATATTGTACAATGTATTGGCGCCAAAATGATAAAACTCAATGAGCAATCATATAAAAATGACAGATTCCAAATTCAAATGTAATATTTTGTTTATTTTTAATTGTAACAGTATTTATGGCCAAACTAAGTAATTGATAGTCTAGACTGCCGCTAAGACATTCTATGTATGACATGCAAATTATTATGATTATAATAAAAGTAATGGTTTTACTTCCAAAACTGATCCAGACTGATTCATAGAAAATTAAATACTTTCATCAACTTACAGTTAGTACCGACAATTCACATCTACTTACTGGATTTCCAATCTGGCAATGTACTTGGTGCTATTCCTGTTGTATACAATTGATATATTCCGCAAGTTGGTACACTGTTATAATCGCCGCACAAAATCAAGCTAATTTTTTTATCGGGAAACTGAAATGGTTTGGTAATCAATTGATTAATTAAAATCAAGTTTATGTTTAAAAATAACAATCAAAAAAGTGTTCACCTTTTCCATAATTTTTTTCCTAACATCGTTTATCCAATAAATAAAAATGCCACCTTGAATCAGTCTTATGTGATCAGCATCGGGGTGGAAATACAAATGTGTATTTCCAACAAGTAGCAGTTCGTCCGAATTTTCTACAGACTCCAAGAATGTAACACTAGCTACTGTAGATCTGTCTAAAAGTCGTTCTACAAGTGGACCATTGGTCTTTATGATATTCCATATACTCTGTAAGCATGGATAACTTTTAATTGCTTCTGATAAGATTATTTTTTCTTCCCCTAAGAACCTGAAAAACAAACATTGTATACTGGGAGGTGAGTGATTATCATTGTTTTAATCTCTGTGTTTCATGTAATTATGTCACCAAAATCTAAACCCCAAAATAAAAACTTATATAAATTGTGGATTTTTTTATTAGGCCTAGTACCTATAACTTTTATATATTTACTCACCTAAACCTTAATGATCTATAAAAACAAGCAAGTCCTTCTGCAACCTCTTTTCCTTTTCTGTAAAACTGTCCCTTAAATCCAGCATTGTCAAGAAAGGGAGACAACCAATGTTGAAATATTTTTCTATCTACTTCTTGAAGACATATTATATCAGCATTGTATCCTATTGAAAAGAAATGAACTATCTAAAGTATATAAAATATAATGTTACCAGTTGCAATAACTTAGAATGTATCAATATTATTGTGTCTTGTGTCTAGGATACATAGGGTATACAATTAAACATTATTTTAATCTATTATATGATATTTATATATGGCATTATTATGTATGCTGTATGCGTTTTGTATATATTATATGTATATTATTTACAATTATTATTTTTCAACAAAGTTTTATCCTTCTGCAGCTCTAAACCACCCTTGAATGACTGATAGAGATTACCTGGTGTATTAAGTTCACTGTTCTCTTGTGCATTAATTATATGAGGACATGAGTGAAGACATGAGAGAATGAAGAGATGCAAGAGAGATGCAAGGATTAAACACCATCTTTTCTCTTTCTTCCCTACCTATGCTGATAGACTTGAGAGCCTATTTCAGCGTATCCTTAACTAGTAGGTGAGCTCACGGGCCTCAACTAACACGAACCCTAGCAAGGGCCGTGCATCGCAGAATCTACCACCGGATCGGAAAAGCGACCCGCTGAGAAGATCCGGCGGGAAACTGAGAGGGCTGTGTCTGTGGGTTAATTTACTTGCGCAACGGGCTCGACGAGAACGATGATCGGTGCTTGAGGTACCTAAAGTCACCGTTAGTGGATCGGGAAGATCCGAATGACGTGTTTTGGGCGACCTTGACTGCTTTTCATTCTGTCCGCAGGATCGGGAATGTAATTACCGGCGGCCACGATGAGAGGGTTCTCGTGTCGTGCCGTTTTGTCGAAATGGCCTTATTCATCCACTCGTGTTTTCAAATATAGTAATATAGTTTATGAATTGATTAATTCATTTTAACAAAATATTTAATGGTTTAACGAAATTACTTCATATTAAAATTACTATTTAATTAAAATTTACTCACCTACCTAGTAATTCTTTCATTAATAATTGTTTTCTATAATCTATATTAAGAGCATATGGCGGGCAATAAGGATGAAGCACAGTCCTTGTGAATTCAGAATCGCAATATAAATCAGCTAAAATATTATAAGAAACACAGCGAAAACTGAAAAATAAGATTATTCAAAATTAAGTTAAATTAAATAAGATTAGTAACAAAATGCGTAGTCTGTTATTATTCTTGTATAAGTTACAACTGGGTTTTTAAAACTATTTCATGTTTTATTGCATTATGCTGTAAGTAATAACTATCTCTGCAGCCCATATATGTAACTATTAGATATTAATGTTATTATTAATATTATTCCGATAACAACAGTAATACAATTTTTTAAATGACATCAGCATTGCTGAATTCACACCTTTTAAGAAAAACCAGGGTATTGTTGCTCTATTCTGAGCATATTTGAGCTCCTGCTAAAGGTCTACACCAATTTTTTTCATTGGGTATGCAATGGATAACTGATACAATAAAATATTGTAGGTGGAATTTCAATTGGAACCTAGATTTATTTCTTAATTTCTGGGCAAGAGAACATCTTTCATGCTCACTTAATATTTATTTACAAAGACGAATATGTTCTTAATGTAGATACTATTTAAATTATTATTACATTATTGCACTATTATGTAAATAAATTTTACCTTTTGCCTTTGAGAAAAGAGGTTGTAAACATGTGCCTTGTTTCAAAAGGACATTTGCCGGGACCTGCTTCCACAACACCTTTGGATATTGCATCCACAGCAGGGCCTGAAGTAACTTCATTTCCTACAAATAAAATAAATATTTATATAACACTAGCTGACCCGGCAGACTTCGTAGTGCCGCAATCGATAAATAAAAGACCTAAAGTTTTGTTTGTGTGTTGTTGTAACAAAATTGTTATCTACCTTTTAAACTTCTGGACTCCACAAATAATTCAAGAGAAAAATTTGCCAAATCGGTCCAGCCGTTCTTGAGTTTTAGCAAGACTAACGAACAATAATTCATTTTTATATATATAGATATGCCAGAGGAAACATCTATGAATATAATATAAAACATGGTTATTTTAAATAATTACCTGGAATGCATTGCACTTTAAGCTTCATTCCAATGTCATTCAATGTAGGAATATAGGAGAAGTTTTCACATATAAACTCCCACTGTATATTTTCATCACTCATAGTTTTTCCTTTTTCATTAACAGCTTTACCTCTGTACCATTTAAACTGACATTTTTTTATATCAGAAAAGAGCATTTTCAAATTTTCAGGATATACTGGAAAGCCAGCTAGAATACTTTGTGATATACCTATGCTTGTTATCCATGGTTCATTGAAGACAATTTCATAATTTTCATCATTGATTTTCATCATGAGTGGTTGTCTAAATTCAAACAAATCTTTGCAAGTAGATCTTTCAGGGAACAATCCAGTTTTGGTACAAATTTTAATAGTTACCTTATTGTCACTAACAAGTTTCTTTCTATTATTTTTATTAATAACCTTTTGTACGTTTGATTCAATACGTGTGGTGAGAGAAGCTATGTCTTCAGAGGGACTTCGGCTCAAATTGAATTGTCGTATGGAATCTTTTATTTTTAAAAGAAATGTTATGTCCACTCTTTCGTCGTCTTGAACATATCTAAGGTAACATTTGTTGGTGTTCATGTTGCAAATTTTTGAAACACTGAGTGCAGAGTAAAATCTCAGATTACAGAAGTGAAATCTTATTAACATACTATTCAAATTGTTTGCTATATAATTTTAGACTATATTTTTCTGAATCTAACTTTTCTTATGTTTTTTTATTAAATTATTTAGATTTACGTACCGTACCGTACGTACTTTAAAATAAACAACAGGTTATTTTCTTTTTTAGGCGATTTTATGACAACAGGTTTTTTTTAAGGGATTTTATGACCTGGTAACTAAGACCTTTAAGTCATGTCTTATTTTAATTTATTTTCTTATTTTTATGAAAAATGAAGAAATGAAATGAAGATGATTAATTTGAGACATTAATCAACTGGGATAAAATCAAATGAAATGAGATGCGATCATATGGGATGAAATATAATCTCAGTAAAATGGTGGTCATCTACTGAGACTTTTTCATTGGACTTTTTCGAGGATCCCGAGAAGTGACGTCCAGTGGCTTTGTTTCATTTACCCACATTTGTGCACTTTCACAGATATTAAACAGTTAATAAACCACCGTTATTACACATTTAAACCTGAAGAAACACTAAATAGACAAAATAAAACAAATCACACAACTTCACTCCTCGCGTTCCCGCCAAAAAGTCCACCCTCCAGAATGGCGCTAGCATAGGCACAGGGTATTATATGAATTGAGCACTTGTTAACTGATTGAAGTATGCTGAGTTAGGAAATTTAATAAATTTAATGAATAGAGTAGTTAGTGACAGTGTAATATACAAAGACCTCACATTTTTACGTAGTCCAAATTAATTTCGTCCATAAAACCTACAATTATTGCTGTGATAAAACGGGGAGACATCGATTGCATTTTATTATCAACTTCAAATAAAATACTTTATATTGGGTTTGTAGTGCGTATAGCTTTTTTATTTGTCTATCTTATTTTAATAACTTTCAGCGCCTTTTTTAAAATTTGCCCGGTTGCTACCGTAGCGCCACCCTTATTTAGCAGATTTTAACGGACACTTTTTCACACACAGAAACGTTTCTCTTTACCTCCACCCTCCATAGGTTATTAACGGGCAACACCGTCAATGACAACGTGTCAGTGGAATTGGACGCGTTGCAAGTTAGTCGGCCAACACTATAACACTTTCTAAGTTGTTTGTTCACTTAAATTGTAGATGCTAAACGTGCTAAGTGAATATCGGACTTAAAGTAAAGTTTTACAACGTTTGAATAAAAATGGTAAGGGTATTTATTTATTAAAAAGGTATCGAAAAAATATTTTACTAGGGATTTATGTGAACATGAATAAATTATTTCAGCCTCAATCTCCGAGTGCTACCTCTGTAGGATCTGGGAGTAGATCACCCACAAAAGCTTCTGCTGGCCCACGAACAGCCAGTGGTAGTACAGTCCGTCAACGAAAATCAACTACTACTACAACTGCAGCCAGAAACCGAAGCACTGGTGCTGGTTCTGGAGGAATGTGGAGGTTCTATACCGATGATTCTCCTGGAGTCAAAGTGTAAGCCTTAAAAATATACACTTTTCAAACTTTCTCTACTGAAGTTTCATGTAGCACTTCACCTAATAAAATGGAACATTATAAAATTCTTTAAGTAAAATTTACTTCATTCATTGATTATACAAATGCTTCAAAATTTTACATCTTTTCTGAAGCTTAGAAAATATTAATGTCTTTAATACATTTATTAAATAAATAACACCATAAGATCTATCTGAGTAAGTTATCATAATTGCTCATGGAAATCATCAATGCTAGAAGAACAGCCACAGAATTACCTAAAGCAAAAAAATCTCAAAGTAAAACATTGAAAATGTTTATAATTCTTAAACTTTTCTTTTTTCCAGGGGGCCAGTTCCTGTTTTAGTGATGTCTCTCCTGTTTATTGCATCGGTATTCATGTTACACATTTGGGGAAAATATACTAGAGCATAATAATTTAAACCTTAATATGTAATATAACATGTTGTTACTTTTAATAACTTGTTATTAGTCTAAGATAATATATGGTAAGTATGTGTTTGGAAAACAAGTTAATACCTTATAATGTAAATTGTGTTAATTTAATATTAAAATAAAATTAAATATAAGTGGAATAATTGTTTTTGTTTACCCCTCATTATTTCTCATTGCATAAAAGGAGCATTACTTATAACCCGCCTGCTACAAAGTTCCGTTTTCATGACCGTGAATCTTATCAGTGACATCTTAAGTTGTGTGGCTCACTTTTGTTGTGAATGTTATTTTTACGCAAAGAATGCAAAGATAAACATATTTCCATATATTCAGTAGCTAGTGGCTATTCAATTTACATAATTTTGCCACACTTTTCTTTGTCCCGTACAGTAGTACTAGATTAGATTTATAAATTTAGAACAAAAGAAAAGGAGTTAACATAGTTATGACAAAAATCAAGTACACATGAACATTTGATGTATCATTAACAAGCCATAAAACAATTACATGTAGGTTTAAAATATGTAAGTTTATTGATTTAAAATATGTAAGTTTATTCATTTAAAATATATATAAGTTTATTCATTATTGAGATACATAAAATTTTATTGATACATTTATGTGCAAAACAGAAATTTAGCCTTAAATTGATAAATGTTGCAATAGGATATCCTACCAAGATTTTTTAATGGAATAATTTATTATAAGAACTTTTTTAATGGGTAAACAAAAGTTCAAGTCTAATAAAATGTTATAGTTTGAGCATCCGATGTAAGAGTCCAAACCTGTTGAATGGACATAACAATGTTAGGAGGATATTCAGTGTATTTTTTTTAAATAAAAACAATAGCAAGATACATTAATTCACTAATTTCATGAGGTTTTGACTGCTGTGGATTGATATCATTTTTGAAATTATAATCAATAGCATTACACAAACATGACTGTGCAGAATGAAGAGTGTCAGCTCACTGAACTTTGGTGCAGTAAGTGTAATCTAAAAAGCTAATGATCTACTTCATTCACACCAGCCCCACAGCGAGAACCTCGCTCTTTGTTGTTCATTGCCTTTACCCATGATGAGTGATGCATGCAAAATCATCAGTTAAACAACCCTGCTAGAACTTACTGTTCATCACTTATTAACTGATTATATTCAGGGCATTCTAGTAGTTAAGCGTTAATAATCTAATCTAGACAGTGCGTTTCCAGAGAGTTTTTTTGCCACGTACCATGGAATGAGCTCCCATCCACGGTGTTTCCTGAGCGCTATGACATATCCTTCTTTAAAAGAGGCTTGTGGAGAGTATTAAGCTGTAGGCAGCGGCTTGGCTCTGCCCCTGGCATTTATGAAGTCCATGGGCGACGGTAACCACTTACCATCAGGTGGGCCGTATGCTCGTCTGCCTACAAGGGCAATAAAAAAAATCATAAACCGGTGAACTAGCAGTCAGTTCATCTGCTGGTAAATGTTTACCTATGCCCATAGATATCGAAATAATATCACCACTCAACTAACTCATCTTGAGATATAAAGCCTCAATTGTATATCCATATAATGTATCTACCTCATCCTTAAAACCAGTAGTATGACTGTTTTGCCAACTATCGATACTCTTACCTGCAGTAGAGTTAATAGTTGGTTCATCATCATAATTTTAGAATATTTATTCATTTTCATTTTTACCTAAATATTATATGTGGTCGTGGTCGTCGTGGCCTAACGGATAAGACGTCCGGTGCATTCGTGTTGAAGCGATGCACCGGTGTTCGAATCCCGCAGGCGGGTACCAATTTTTCAAATGAAATACGTACTCAACAAATGTTCACGATTGACTTCCACGGTGAAGGAATAACATCGTGTAATAAAAATCAAACCCGCAAAATTATAATTTGCGTAATTGCTGGTGGTAGGACCTCTTGTGAGTCCGCGCGGGTGGGTACCACCACCCTGCCTATTTCTGCCGTGAAGCAGTAATGCGTTTCGGTTTAAAGGGTGGGGCAGCCGTCGTTACTATAAATGACACCTTAGAACTTGTATCTCAAGGTGGGTGGCGCATTTACGTTGTGGATGTCTATGGGCTCCAGTTACCACTTAACACCACGTGGGCTGTGAGCTCGTCCACCCATCTAAGCAATAAAAAAAATATATATATATATATAAAGTATTATAAATGAGAAGATGGGAAAAATCGAATTATGCGGTACATTCATGCAGGTGATGCCTAAGAATTCACAAAATATTATAAAAACATAAAACATACTAAAAAGTAATTCCATTTAATTAAAGAAAAATATGATTTAAAATAATTACATACAAAACGTAAGTAAATTATGACACAAATAAATGCCACCTTAATCAAAATCAGCCTTTGTAAACTAATATACCTATTAAGATTTTAATTTTCAAGCACACCATCTCTGTACACTCCTTATTTCATGGCGAAATTTCTTTGTACTCAATATTAGTTACAAAATTTTAAATTATATTATACATAGAGTACCTGGTTTTTGTCTATATCATTACATTGGGTTCATTTCATTTCCAACTTAATTATCTATATGCTGCTATGAATGTTAATTTCTAAATTAAACTTAATTAGACTACATACAATTATTATTTTATGAAAGAACTATCGTAATTAGTGATTGCCATAGGTTGTATCATGAGAATTTATGTTTTATAATATAACATAAATGATTTTTTTCAGAATAATACCAATACTTCTTTTTATAAAATAACATTTAAGCAAGAAAACCATTGTTGATGGAATGTAAAAGATTCATAACATTCATAGTTTATTACAATAAATTTCCTGTGAAAAACTTTTAAAATTACATCATAATGCTGTTTGCTTTCACTGAATAATAACAATGATGAGCCATTAGGAACTTTTAAGTTTTAATGAATTTTAACTGGAATAGGTAAAGCAATTAACTAGAAATTGTTATATCACAGTTAACTGAATTTGCATCACAATAGCAATGAACAGTCCATGTAATCTATAAAGTAAAGCAGCTACAGTAGAAGGTGACTAAGAAATATTGTTTTATATGACTTTCCAAAATTTATGGCAGTCTTGTTTGATGTATATTACTGTTTAATAAAATAGAGGATTGTCATACATTCAAGTAGTAACTAAAAATAATTATACAAAAACAAATAAATCTAAATATAATATATAATGAAAACATTCATTAACTTTTGTTTGCAGTTGCAGTTTCTGCATTTAAAATAATTACACATAGGCTTCTACTCTGCGACCTTTAACTTTGTCAAAAAATTGAGACCATGATATCAAAGTTTTACCAGACCATATCCAAAAGCTAGATGTTATACCAACAATCATTGTCATTAGATATTTAATCATAAACATTTCAAACTTTGGTCCTTCTATCTCTTCATGAATTATCGGACAAGGAATTGAGTATTGTCGTATCGAACACATGTCTCGTTGCCATGCAATCATCCATTTGTCAAAATTAACTTGTTCATAGAACAAACATGCTATGACTATGAGGGCAGGCACGGTGTATAGTACACCAAACACACCAATGCGAATCATCAGTTTCTCTAATTTATCAGTTTTAGTCCCATCATGTTTCATGACAGTTCTGATCCGAAACAGTGAGACAAAGCCAGCTAGAAGAAAGATTGTTCCAAACACTAAATAGACACATAAAGGTGCCAACACAAATCCTCTTAAAGCTTCTGCATCCCATAATCCAACGTAACATACACCTGACAGTACATCACCTGAAATTAATAGTTGGAATGATTTTACTTTCTACTACTAAAATAATAATAAATTGTGCAATTACTGGTGGTAGGGTGTTGAGGATGGTAGAGCCTATACAAAATTGGGTGCCACCACCGTGCTTACTTCTGCCTTAAAAAGGTAATGTTTTTTGGTTTGAAGGGTGAGACTGTCATTCTAGTATAAAACGGGACTTAGACCCCATAGCTCAATGTAGGTGATGGCTTTTACATTGTTGACGTCAATGGGATTGAGTAACCACATTAGGTCAGTAACCATATGAGCTCACCCACCCATCTAAGCAATAAAATGAAAAATACTGCACCACTTGTTCTACAAGTAGTGTAAGCTTGGACAGATTAATAACATTGTCTTGCCTAGTTCAATCAAGAATCAGTCACATATTCCAGTTTGCCATTAATTTGATATAAATGAAACTGACCTCATGTCTAAACTGTCATGAAATCAATTCAGTAATTATTTAAAACCAGTTGTACATGCAATTCTTTATCCAAGTTGTTATGCTAATAAAAAAATTAGAACACATGGAAATGAGAAAAATATCACTAACCATCTACTTTCCCCATTGCTAGAATAGATATTGTCTTCACAGCTGGTACTGCCCAAGCAGCAAGATGAAAATATTGGGAATTTGCTTCTATTGCTTCATGTCCCCATTTTAGGCCAGCAGCCAAAAACCATGTCAGGGTTAATATGACCCACCATATACTCGAAGCCATACTAAAGAAATATACTATCATAAACAGTATTGTGCATGGCTCATGTTTTGTACCTTGTGTGATAACTGATATGTTGGGTAATCTTGTTCCACTGACAGCAGAAACAAAAGGCCCTTGGCAGCTTATATTATCACCTGCACTCCAACCCATTATGTAGGCAATAGCTACCATTAGATAACAAACTGACAAAAATATTATGGGTCTTTCTGGATACCTGAATCTATCTGTATCTATTAAAAATGTTAGCACAGTAAAAAGGCAACTGAGTGCACACAGGACTGCCCAGATTCCAATCCAGAGCCTTGAAAAATTCTTTTCATCTTTACTGAAGAACATTCCATTGCATGGGGCTCCACAGTCATGTTCAACTCTATTTCCAACTTTAAAAGAGTATTCAAGATCTAAATGTCTTGGTACTTTGAACTGCACTGGGCACACAAACTCATGCAATCTAGTCGGATCTCTCTCCATGTTAGATTTGAAGTCAACCTTACGAAACTTGGTATCAGTGCGTTTTCGAGATTCATGGGCAGTATTATTGTCACCAACACATATGTTATTATCAGATACTTCAGGAAATTCAGAACATTCAAGCTCAGGGGGCCAAGGAAAATCAAATTTTCGTATGACGACATCACAGCTTTGTTTTGCAGCTTCACATAAATGACGACAAGGCGGTATCGCAGAATCTAGTATCGTGCAAACGGGTGCATAAACTGAACACAAGAAGAATCTTAGATCAGGAGAGCAATTCAGTTTAATGAGAGTTGTAAACAGAAGCATGTTTGCGGCTGCATCTTCTTGTCGTGCTTGATTTAAAATATTCGGAAAAATGGTTTGATTATAACGCAATTTTTGACAAAACTGAATGGTAATGGGTTCACAACGTCCATGTTGAGGTAGACTATCGCCTTGATAAACAATCTCTCGAGAACCTTTTGTTAACGCAAAAAGACATAACAGACTGAATATAATAACATAATGTTTCCAAAATTTTGCCATATTGATCATGTAGAGTTTACCACATAAATGTTATTCATCACAAAACATTTCGTACAGTGTCATTTTATTAAAATTGTGGTATTTTGACCCACGTTACATGTAAATATTTATCTCTTTAAAACGTGTCTTATTTGATATTAGCATATTATGACAGACTTTAATTAGTACATAATATCTAAAGCTGATTTAAGTATTGGTTTCTGAAAACTAAAGTTTTTTTGTTAGAAATTACGAGAAATTCACAAAATAGTTACGGTACGAATAGAATACCAAATAACTAAAGCAAAAATACATTTTTTTAAGGGATTTTATGACCTGGTAACTAAGACCTTTAGGTCATGTCATCTTTTAATTTATATTCTTATTTTTAAGAAAAATGATAACATGGAGTGAAATGAAATGAAATAAAGATGATTAACTTGAGATATTAATCAACTGGAATGAAATTAAATGAATGAATTTAGTAAAAACTTTTTTTATTAATTGTTATTTCAATGTAATTGTGTTTATATTTTGTCATGATCTTGTACAGCCCGTAATATATTAGAATAATAAATAAAACACGTAAACATGTTTAAAATTGTGGCTCGGAGTGTCAATAAATCTGAAATAGATGTAAATAAGACACATTTAAAACAAATAATATTTAATCCTAATCTCAGTTAAAAATTACAATCCCCGAAATATAAATGGGTACAGTCGGTGCGATTCTACTTTTCAAAGTTGAGCCATTAATTGCCCTGATAGATAGCATTATTATAAATTAATTAAGCATTACTGACCATTTGTTAATGAAAAGTCAAAATATGAATTTGCAGATTAACAAAGCAGTCACTTCGATTATATATAAAGTGTATAATCAATGCTTCGATTTAAATTAACCCTGTATGGTATAAGGCCTGTATTCTAGCTTTTTGTGTTCTGAATATTGTAGTATTTGTTGGAAGGTCGTGATGCTGTCCACGTATAATTGTCTATGATGCACTATATTTGAATTTGTATTATGTTCTTTTTACTTTTGATGTGCGGTGTCATTCTGAATTATATTTTCTCTTATACAAGTCAAAACAAGGTTTTCATGTATTTAATTTACGTTTTAATTAATTGCTATAGCCGCTAGTCCACCCTATCAGTATTCCCATGGAGTTAATAAGTACCTACAACTAGTTATATAGTTAAAATACTAATTCTATGAGTATTCCTTAAAAGAATCGACTCGAATCTACTATTAGATTTAATACTTAATCATCTTAGTTAATTAAATTTTCAAAGTAATCTTATTTCTCTTCTATATATTTTTTTCATAATATAACAAAATAAGAAAAAAATAAAAGATTTAGCTTTAAGATATTATTAATGGCCAACATGAACAGTTTCCTTCGTTTTTTATTATTTATAAACTGTAAATAATTAAAACGGCGAAAAAATCTTATTACTTGACACTGGCTAATGCACAAGCCGTGTGAGCCACAATAAAAAATAAAACAAATAAATACCGGTAAAATGGGGCGATTAGGGATTGAAAGGCGAATCGGGAAAAAACCGGGAAAATCTTTCGACGCTCAATATAAGTTTTATATTCGTTGCAAAATCTTCCATTTTTTTGTAGTTTAATAGTAGAATGTTGAAAGTTCACAAAACAACTCTGAATATGCATGATAATAGCTGCTAACTTATAAAAAATCGTGTTTCAAATTAACTTCCTGTGGTGGTAATTATTTTAGTGCTAGAAACTTTGCTCTCTTTTATTTATTTGATAATAATAGAAGACGACTATGATTTATAAACGTTATTTAGTGTTTGAACCAGCATATATATTAAAGGTAAGTCTCAGTTGTTATTGGTTTTAATGTATTTGATTAAATAAAAATACATGTAAAAATCTGTTGTTTTTGGGGATATTGGGGACGTCTTAGGTACAAATAACAACGAAAAAGGGGTCAATTGGGATGAGAATACGTGAAATGGAAACGACCTAAGTATAAATAGGTACAGGTTTGTAGGGTTGTCTATGTAGTTATAACAATATTTTTTAAATTTGTTGGTAAAAATCTGGTTTATCGAAGCGAAATTGGGAATAAGTCTTTAGTTGAAATAGATAAGCAATTTAATATAAGTAAGTCGATTTTGCAGAGACATGTAACAAGATCAATGAAATCTCAAGGTGGACAAAAATGTCTAAGTAATACCTAATAAAATATTTAATATTTGTTCAGAGTGGGGGTATTCATCTGATTAATCCATGGAATAACCGACACACCTAATCTCTTAACCCAGATAGAAATATCAGCCCCTAAGTACTTACCAAGAACGGAGAAATATAAACCGTTTCTAAGAAAGCCCACTATATATGTATAAATATATATATATATATATATATATATTTTGTTGTTACTGCACTGTCGATTGCACCTATAATTGAGGTGATGTCTGCCATGTACTTTTGTCAGTTTTTCAATTTTTTTTATTGATGATCACTTTGTTGGTGCAACTAAATAAATAAATTAAAACTATATATAAAAATAAAAGTAGTGCCAACCCTAGCAAATTTCTCATTTCGTCCCAATTAACCGCAATTTTCGGGTAAATAGGGATTACACCTATTTTTGCAATTTTTGCTTAAACTGGAATGCTACTTGCATAATTTTAAATTAGACAACAAAGATGCCCCCAAGACTCAATCATTTTGATCCTGATATAGCATTATATACATCAACAACTACCTTAAAATTGCTCATAAAGTTGGAATTTGTCCCTAATCGCCCCATTTTACGGTACTAATAATAAAACAAACAAACGTTAAGTTAGGACCCTCTAAAATAGGTGTAATATGTATTTTAAGTAATCATAGTTATTAGGTACACTTTAATAGCACAGGAACAAAATTAATGTTACATGGAAACAAGGCCAAATAAAATTACAAGCTTCTACTTTGAAAACGTATACGTGAACCTATACTACTGGAAAGTAAACGTAACTTTACCGCACTGTTAAATATTTTTTATTAATATTTCAAATGGAACCTAGTGAAAATTTAGACTTTGTAAAATTAATTAACATAAGAGCTAATATTGATAACATTACGCCTCACAAAATTGCTGTAGTAGCTTTCATTCGTGAATATGGACTTTTAAAAATAGAAGGTTTGTAATTGAAAGATGTATGAATTTATTCAATTAAAAAGTAAAAAAAAACACTTATTTCGTATTATTTCAGCAAAAAGAATGGTGGATTGCGCTGTGGCTCCAAAATATAGAAAGGATTTTTGTATGCTAGCCCTCAAATTAATACAGGTAAATATTTTATAAGTTCAGCTAATAAACCATTTAGTAAGATTTATAACACGAAACTATTAATTTGTTTTTGAAACAAATTGCTATGTAATGTAATATTTCTTCTAAAAAAATTAATATTGAATATGATCAACTTTTATTGCTCAAGACGGGCAAAGAAGCTCATAGACAAACACATATTAAGTAATTACCAGAATGCATGATGATACCTACAAGAAGGCTTAAAATATGCTTTAATACCAGTAGTCTTTAATTTCTATCTGATTGAGATGTGTACCTGCCTATTTCTACTGTGAAGCTATTAGGAATTCCATTTTAAAGGGTCAGTCAGCCGTAATACAAGGAAATTGAGATAAGCTTGCCCATAACCAATAGTAATAAACTATTTTGTTTTTTTTTATTACTTTTGTAGGCAGACCAGCGTATGACCCACTTGATGTTGAGTGGTTACCGTCATGCATGGAATGCCAGCAATGGCAGGGGCATAACCAGGCCGCTGCCTAGATTATGAATAACAATATTGATTACAGTGTCCAGACATGGAGTTCAAAGAATTAGAATCACTTCTCACGGATGGTCGGTACAATTTATTAAGTGTTCACCTACAAAATTTTTGTGTTAGACTGCAGAATATTTATGTGAATGGAATTAGTGCTCTTGTGGACTGTGTCACATCAACTGTTGACAAACTTATGATTGAGCAGAATGAGACCAATCCTTGTATTATAACAAGGTACAGTGTGTTAGGTGAGTGTTATAAAAAAAAGTTTATGTAATATTTAAAATAACTAAAATACAACAAGCTATAACAATGTCTAAACGATTGTAGTAATATCTTTTTTTCTCCTACCTACGCCGAAAGTTCAGTTTTCCTCCCACTGTACCGGGAAGAAAGTCTAACTTTTCCTCTCGCTGTACAGGGAAAAAAGTGTAACTTTTCCTCCCTGGGTACTGACAAGTGCGCATGCGCGTTAGTGTATACGTCTGCTCTCACGCACCTAAAATTCTCCGCCATTGTTGTGCTTGGATAATTTGCAATATTGTGTTTAGTGTAAAAGTGAAATAAACAAATGGCAAGAAAAACTAATATGTACACCGCGGGAGTTTGCCACCCTCGCCTTCAGCTTAGGTGAGGTTTTACACGCGGGATGAGATGAACCAGCCTGCCGGTTCGGAACGCGATACATCGCCGACCGGGTTGCTCTTCTACAGTCAGTTTGGCGACGACAACGCAGACCGCTTCGCAGGCCGCAGCCGCCGACGCGTCGTCCCATCCTCCTGGTGCCAGCGCGCTAGAGTGACGGTAGCGTGCGGCGCAGCTTCAGCCCCCTCAGGTCGACCCGTGACCATCACCGGGAGGAGACTACCTCCTCACAGGGGCCGGAGCTGGACGAACGCCCTCTTCCGACCCCCACCTCGGCGGCGGCGGGCCGGCGTCGAGAGGGAAGAAGAGCTCTCCCTCTTCCGTTCCGCCGCCTGGACTCGCAGAAGTCGAGCATCACCTGCCAGGACCCATCATCGCTGCCGAGCATCGTAGTCACGACGTTCAGAAGCGACAAGTCCGGTCCTATTTTTGCAACGAGCACGCGGCGCTGCTCCGCGAAAACAGGGCAATACGCGAGCGTGTGCTCCGCCGTGTCCTCGTTACAGCCACTGCAGTGATGGCACTTCGACGTCGGCTCCCTCCGGGCGACGAGGCGCTGGTAGCGACCGAAACAGCCGTGTCCGGTGAGCACCTGCGTCGCCCGGAAGGTGAGTCGTCCTCGATCGCGATTCACCCAGTCCCAGAGGACCGGGCGGATCGCCTCGACGGTCCGTCGCCCATAAGCGGGGTCCGCCAGGCGGCGAGACCACGCCTCGAGCACGGCACGCCGAGATTGAAGCTTCCGCGCTCGAAGTACTGCCGCGCCGGGACGCGGCTCCCCCCTGGAGCGAAGATTGCATCGCCACGCGTAATCCGCAGCGAGCGCCTCCGTTTTCAGGTCCCAAGGAGGCGTCCCGGCGGGCACGCACGACGCCTCGAACGAGACGGTGCGGTACCCGTGAACCGTCTTGACCGCAATCGCGGACGTCGGAACGCTCGGTCCACTAACGGTGCTTCTAGGTACCTCAAGCACCGGTCATCGTTCTCGTCGAACCCGTCGCTTGCAGCTCGACGAGTAAACTAACCCTCAGGCACAGCCCACTGAGTTTCTCGCCGGATCTTCTCAGTGGGTAGATTCTGCGAAGCACGGCTCTCGCTAGGGTTCGTGTTAGCAACGTCGTCAGATTTGAGCCCCGTGAGCTCTTCTACTAGCTAAGGCGACGCTGATATAGCTTCACAAGGCTATCAGCTTAGGTAGGAAAAAAAAAGCTGCGACGTATTCGCAGGTCAGAGCGTGGCACCACACGGGAGCCCCGTATAGTGCCATTGACCGCACCACCCGCGTGTAGAGGCGGCGCACCACCATGTCGGGATCACCGACGTTCGGCAACAGCCCACTCAGCAAGCCGGCGGCCACCATCAGTCGGGGACCCAATCTTTCAAAGTGAGCACGGAAGCTCCAACGACCGTCCAGTACGACACCGAGGTACCGCAACCCGGTCGCCTCGATCTCGACGCGAACGCTTCCAATCACGAGGTGGGCCCGAGGCGGCGCTCTCCGGGCACCGTGAAACCCAGCCTTCGAATCCTGCCGACGACGAAGGCCACCCCGCGCAAGAAAGACGGGCAGATTCGCGCAAGTCCCTCCTCCGAGCCACGACCAAAGTATCGTCCGCGTAACAAACTACGCTCAGACCCGGGAGCGGAGCGCTAAGGGCGCCCCGCAGGACCCAGTCGTAGCTGATGTTCCACATGAGAGGGCCAAGGACCGACCCCTGTGGGACACCGCGCTCGACGGGGAAGCGGAGCACCGCCTCACCGTGCTCGGTGCACACGACCGACCTGTTCTCGAGGTAGGACCCGATCAGCCGACGGAGATACGCAGGGACGCCGTGATACTCCAGCACCCCTGCGATCACGGACCAGGGCAGGGTGTTGAACGCATTGGCGATGTCCAGGGACACCGCCAGTGCAACTCCGCCCCGGCTGACAGCCTCCAGAGAGGCACGCACGCACGCGCATCACCACGTCGATGGTCGAGAAGCCCTCCCTCCATTCGAACTGCTCCGCTGACAGATCGGGACCCACCCCCGTTAGGTGCTGGACGATGCGGGCGGCCACCACCCGCTCAAGCAGTTTTCCCGCCTCGTCCAGCGACACGATGGTTTTATGTGTTAGCCTACAATATGCCACTTGTGGGTTATCACCATCACCAGTATACTTATTATACAGTATAATATAGACTTTGAGCACATGTCTTAAGGTAGGTTATAACATTCATGTTGTGCTGTACATACTTTGTATACTTTCGTGCGGTTGATGGCTCAGGCATTGGCTACAGGGCTACAGGGCGGTGTAGTGTCACGCCGCGACAACGTTGCGACGTCCGCAGCGCGCGTTTACGATCAGGTCAGTTTGCGGGTACCACACCCTCTCGTTCGAGTAGGCGTGCGTGCTCGCGGGAACCCCTCCCTGAACCTGGACCTGGAAGCGGAGGCCCGGCGGAAGTTTTGGCGTGCCGTGTTTGAGGCGCGGTCCGTTTTGCGGCGACGGAACGTAGAGGCGATCCGCCCGGTTCTCTCGGTCTGCGTGACGGAGATCGGACGTCGGGTGTAAAAGTGCAGGGGTCTCGTTTAGTGCGGTAGCGCCCTAAAAAAGGGTGCGTGTACTTATGTACGCGCGTAAGAAGTTATACTTTATTTTTATTAAATTTTTTTTTTTTTTTTTTAAATATTAAATAATTTTTGGATCACTACTGTAGATGTTGTTACCAACTGTGACTTCAGTAATAAAGAACTAATACACAGTAATGAAAACACCGTTTATTCCGTAAGATGGTACATGTGTTTACATAAAGACCGGCGCCGGGCAACTCGTGCAGTGTAATGCAATAACTGCATGCGCAAGCGCTTACGTGTCCCTACAATATTCCTCCCCTTAAAATTTTTTGTTACAATTATATTAAATTTTTAAGTTTAAAATTATACAATATATCATCCTAGTAGTTAGCAACGCACTGTGTCACAGCAGCGGGTGCCGAGTCATCGGTAATATACGGCCTAATTTTATTGCCAGATACTTCGCAAAAAATTTCTTTGTCGCACGTAGGTATTGAGAGCTTTTTTAAAATAATTTTGCTATCGCTTCTAGGACATTGAGTGAGTTGTAATAACTGCTCGTCTTTCATTTGCGCGTCAGCAAGTTGTTCGTAGTCGAGTACAGTCGGGCATACAATTGTTTCTACCCGTGATAGTGCATCGGCTACAATATTGTCCTGTCCGCTAATATATTGAATATCGGTAGTAAATTCGCTAATGAAAAGCAAATGCCTCGCGCGTCTAGGCGTTTCTTTATCGTCTTTACATATTTTACTGAATGCATGACACAAGGGCTTGTGATCTGTATATACAGTTAAAGGTCGTCCCTCAAATAGTTTACGAAATTATTATCAACATTTGAAGAGTCCAAAATCGACAAATTGAAAGACTCATAGGAGAGATGGAACTAGGAGATCAAAAACCTTCTCAGCTATTGCGCCGCATGAGAGAGTTAGCCAGAGATAAAGTACCGGACGACACCCTGCGAGTGTTATGGCAAGGTCACTTACCTACAACATTGAGGGCAATCCTTACAGTCACTGAAACAAAAGATTTAGACAACCTCGCCATGATTGCGGATAATGTTGCGGAGGCCACGCGAGTTAACCACATCTCTGAGGTCGTTAATCAACAAACCTCGAATATGGAACGACCATCAACAAGCGACACGTCTTTAATTTTAGCGGAAATAGCAAAATTAAGCGTCAGAATGACTAACATGGAGCAGTCACGATCCAGACAAAACTACTTTGATCGTAACCGTGATAGAAGTGGCTCACGATCTTCATCGAGACGCCGTACCCCACAGAACCCCAACTGGTTATGTTACTACCATTACAAGTTCCGTCAGAATGCTCAGAAATGCGTCCAACCATGTGCATGGAAACCAAGTTCGGAAAACTAGGCGTGGTACGGTCGCGGGCGGAAGCTAGTACCATTTTAGGATGCCGCCGTTTGTGTGTGATGGACTACAATAGTGGACTAAATTTTTTGGTGGACACAGGTGCTAATATTTCAGTTTTACCGGTGCCTAAAATAAGTAAATTTATCAAAAATCCTAACTATAAGTTATATGCAGCCAATGGAACTGAAATTGCAACATTTGGTGAAAAAACGTTAGTGCTAGATTTGAAGCTACGTCGCGCTTTCCGATGGAACTTCGTGCTTGCAGATGTTAAACAGGCTATATTAGGGGCGGACTTTTTAACTTCTAACAATCTTTTGGTTGATATGGGTGAACGTAAGCTTATCGATAAGGTAACAGATCTGAATGTATTAGCTTGTATTGTTGTTAGCAGTCAACCTTCATTGCATACTGTTGATGTGAGTCATCCATATCGTGATTTGTTAGCGCTGTACCTCGACATTACGAAACCGGCGTCATTTAAGGAAGTAAGTTCTCATAACGTTTTGCATTATATTGAAACTACTGGTCCACCGGTGCATGCTCGTGCTCGACCACTGGCACCTGAGAGATATAAAATAATTAAGAAGGAATTTCGGATCATGCAGGAATTGGGTATTTGTCGGCCTTCTAAAAGTGCTTGGGCTAGCCCGTTACATATTGTCCCCAAGAAAAATGGAGACTTAAGACCATGTGGTGATTATCGTCAATTGAACGCTATTACAAAACCTGACAGATACCCTATTCCTCGACTGCATGATTTTACTTATATTTTGGCTGATAAAAAGATATTTTCAAAATTAGATATCAATAGAGCATTTCATTGTATTGATGTTGCTCCTGAAGATATTGAAAAGACTGCCATAATAACGCCTTTCGGNAACATGCGGTACAAAATACAGAGGGACCCGAAGTCCCTCCGCAGACCCAGAGGCTCCAAGCGATCCGTGAGAATGGGATTATCGACAATCCGAACGGCTCTCTTCTGTATGGAGTCAAATGGAAGAAGCTGGTATTTGGGAGCCCCGGCCCAGAGATGGGAGCAGTACTCCACGCGAGGCCGGACTTGTGCTTTATAGATCGTTTCATATAAATCACGTCGGGGTCACCAGTTTTGGATCACTACTGTAGATGTTGTTACCAACTGTGAACTTCAGTAATAAAGAACTAATACACAGTAATGAAAACACCGTTTATTCCGTAAGATGGTACATGTGTTTACATAAAGACCGGCGCCGGGCAACTCGTGCAGTGTAATGCAATAACTGCATGCGCAAGCGCTTACGTGTCCCTACAATAATTAATAATAAATATTTAACGTTAATAATTTAATAATATTTAGTATGAATTATATTAAATAATAATTTTGTCATTTATATTATTAAAAAATAAATGCTAATAACACAACACATTTTTTACGAGTGTACATGTGCGAAAGTTTACCTGCGGCTATATTCAGACTCGCCAAGTTACGTCGGTCATATTGTAATGAGCGATTTAGTGGGCAACTTCAATTCTGTTAATTTTGTGTCACGGTGCGTGCGCATCGTAAAATTTCACTCTCATAAATTTTTCATAACGCGCCTAAAGAAGTATAACTTCAAAAACATTTTTGAGCCCACGGTTGGCAGTCGCGGACCAATTCCACATACCCTGCCCGGACCCTAGGCGTGAGAATCCCGTAGGAGGTTTGGCCCCTCAGCCAGAAAAAAAATCAATGTACTTTGGTAATAACTTAACACCGTGTGGTCACAAAGTTGATCACATATCCAAGTAATAAATAAAGTAATATAAGCAGTTCAGCCATAACTTTTAAAATCTATTGAACCATATAAACTAAGTTGCGTTCCAAAGCTATGTATAAATGTAGAAACATATTGATCACATACACTCAAAGGCAGCTTGGTAAACAATTATAACTGAATTTATGAAATCGCATACTGTTTTCAGGGCTGTATCTTAGAAGAATATTGTTGAATTTAGAGAAATTAACATTTGTGCAGACAGTTGCACTTTATAAAACATTTTGTCTCTATTATCAGAAGGGCAGGCCTGGCCTTATGATGCGATCGTTAAGCAAGGAGGTCAGTCTTAATTTTAAAAATATATTAAATAAATACCCAATTTTGTACTGTACAATTATATGATGAAAGATTGAATCTTGATTGTATTTCTAAAGAAGTTGGGATAAAAGTAAATTCTTCAATTATGGTGATAAATTTTGTTAAATTAATGAATGAGTTTGTGTTGATTATGTATAATAAAATTTTGATTTTTTCAGAAATTAAATAATATGGAAGGAGTTGGAATATCAGCAACTAATGAAGACCCACGACCACTTGAGCTGTCAATTAAAATGAATATTGTAGATCGGAACAAGTATGTTTGTTTTGATTGATTTGTGCCTGTGGGTTCAGGTAATCAGTTATCACCAGGTTTTCTATGATTTCGTTTACCCACCTAAACAATAAGGGCAAGGAAATTGTTAAAAAATTGAAACTGGTAGGAATAGATTGAAGAGTAAATTTCAAATTTTTCTGAAACAAACTAAACGGAACTTACCAAATGAACGAAAGCAACTAGTACTGGTACTGATAATTTTTATTAATAAAATTCCAAAAAGAGATTCGTTCGTAATGACTAATAAACCCACCATTCTCATGCCTCTATGACTTGATATTACAAATCCATTGGAGTTACTGCTGCTCTCTATTTTCAAACCAGACGGTATGACTGTTATTATCGTGCTAATGGTCAAATTCATGACTACCAGTAATTACGCAGATATTAAACGAACTTTTTTATGCATCTAACAAGTTTTTTATTCAATAAGCAGTGTCTTTAGATTTTCTTCTAGTTTATTGGAGGAAGGGCAATGGTCAAGGAAACAAGCAGAATTATTTACAGCTCAGCAAGCAAATTTGTTACAAATCAACGAGAAAAAAGCTCTACCTCCACCTCAGTTGCAAAAAATGATAATGCAAATTATAAATGATCTCCCAGACTACTCAGATATTGTAAGTACGCATTGTAATTTACTTAGAAGTACATTTCTTATTGTTTATGAATGTTTATTATTTTTAGCATTTTTTGAGTTTCTTGAATTGCTTACGAATGAAAGAGTTTTGTGGTGCTCAAGATTCCCTTTACAATTGTTTTGATCGGACCGTATTCAGTTTACCCGGAAACAATATTTGCACGGATAGAAATAAACATTTCCGTTACGCGGCTCTGAATCGAGCTGCAATGCACACACATTTTGGTCACAAGTGAGTAAAATATCTCTTAGAAATAATCTCTTTTCAAGTATATTTACGTGAGAAAAAAAGTGTAACATGTCTTTCTATTCCTATCATAATTCATAATTAACACAAGATTCATAATCTTACTTTTTTTTGGCTTTGGTATGATTTAAAATTCAAAAGTGGAATGCTGTATTTCATTTATAAGCATAAGAAATAGAAGCGCGGTAATAAACTAGTTAATTAAGTTGAACTATTGAAATGTAATTATTGAAAATTATCTTAAACGGCCAGAGGGGCTAAAGTGTATTTTTTTACTATTAGGTATTGTATTTATTCCTCCTCCTTGCGTCGTATTCCTCACTGCTGAGGGTTGTGACCAAAGTATTGGGCTGCGCCCCAAAGGCCTTTTCCCATCCACCTTACCGGTCATGATGAGCTTCTCGAGATTGTTATAATTTTGTATTTACATAGCAACAAACTAAATCTGCTGTAGTGCCTGGCCAAAATAACCTGTTTTTTTTTTTGAAAACATTACGATCGAAATTGTATTTCCTAAAATACAAGCATTCGAATATATATTTTTTTATTCTATTGTTATTAATATTTATGAGCTGTGCCTGAAAATAATCAGAAATCGTTTATTACCAGAGAGCTAGCAATGGAGAGCGTGCGGGAGTCTGTGTCTCGTGCGCAGGAGGCGGGGGACAGTGCGTGCGTAGGTGCGGCGGGCGCGTGGGGTGCGCTGGCGGGAGGGCGGGCCCCCCGCGCCGCTCTGCTCGCTCACGCACCACGTTCCCCCCGTGCGCCCCGCTTGTTAGCCTCGGCCGCGCAGCTGCTCGCACAGCACGCTGCGCTCAATGCAGCTAAACCCGCCGACGTTTTTCAGGTTAGGCCCGATGTTAGCTTGCTTTCTTTAGTAGATATCAAATCAAATCTGAGCTCAGATAGATAGTTGTATTTAAATGTAAATATAAGTATGCGTGTAAAAATAGTATCTACCCTGAGCTCCAGTAGAGATGTCGTCACTTATTTCGTTCGAACACGAGGTCGAAGTCACAGTATTGTATAATGGCTGTCACGTACATGGACCTCTGTCACTGTCATGGAACGTATAGCTGATATGCGCTAGAAATATAAGCAAGATCGTGCTAACTACTTGCACACAATGCACTTTAGCACAACTAATCGCAGGTCTGATTTTTATACTTTGCACAGATTATAACCAGAGGAGATACGATTAATTATCTCCATTCAATGACTGATTTGACCGTGGCGGGACTCGCGAATACGGCTGCTCTTTGGGCGCTGTACGGATTCACTGAAATGGCTTCAGTTAATTGCCAGCTTCTTCTCAATCTCAATGCTAGTAAGTTTTGTTTTGAATACAATAGATTATATCGTAGATAAATCTTAATTAGTCAATTAACCAGTTAGACTAATTAACTGAATTAATTTACTGGTGTTAGGACCTCTTGGGAGTCCGCACTGGTAGGTACTACCACCCTACCTATTTCTGCCGTGAAGCAGTAATGCGTTTCGGTTTGAAGGGTGAGGCAGCCGTTGTAACTATACTGAGACCTTAGAACTTATATCTCAAGGTGGGTGGCGCATTTACGTTGTAGATGTCTATGGACTCCAGTAACCACTTAACACCAGGTGGGCTGTGAGCTTGTCCACCCATCTAAGCAATTAAAAAAAAAAACTCGTACGCAACTTTAGATTAGATTTTGGTAGGCAGCGGCTTGGCTCTGTCCCTGGCATTGCTGAAGTCTATGGGCGACGGTAACCACTCACCATCAGGTGGGCCGTATGCTCGTCTGCCTACAAGGGCAATAAAAAAAAAATTATATTCCCAAGAAGCTTTTCGGCAATCCACATTACCACATCATATTTATAACCTTTACAATGAAATGTTGTGTGAGCTTGTGGCGTGTTTGTTGTAGAATGCAGTGTCGTGTCGGAGGCGGCGGGCGCGCTCGGTGTGGCGGCGTGGCGCGGCGCGGGCGGTCTGTGTGCGGCGCTGGCGGCCCACTTCCCCTGCCCCGCCACCGCCGCGCTCGCTGCACGCGTTTGTGCACACCGCGCGCTCTTAGCCGGTATAGAATGTTATACGAACACGATCTGACTAATTAATTGGAACTGATAGACACTATGAAAATATTAGTCGTCGTGGCCTAAAGGATAAGACGTCCGGTGCATTCGTATCTAGCGATGCACCGGTGTTCGAATCCCGCCGGCAAGTACCAATTTTTCTAATGAAATACGTACTTAAAAAATGTTCACGATTAACTTCCACGATGAAGGAATAACATCGTGTAATAAAAATCAACACTGGTGGTATAGGACTTTTTGTGAGTCCGCACAGGTAGGTACCACCACCCCGCCTATTTCTGTCGTGAAGTTGCGTTTGCGTTTGAAGGGTGGGGCAGCCGTTGTAACTATACAGAGACTTTAGAACTCATATCTCAAGGTGCGTGGCGTCATTTACGTTGTAGATGTCTATGGGCTCCAGTAACCACTTAACACCAGGTAGGCTGTGAGCTCGTGAAGCCATCAAAGAAATAAAAAAAAATAAAAATCAATTTAAAAGGTTCCTTGACGACATTGATATCTATAGGATCTTGTAACAGTTCAATACAAGACGAAGAATTTGCTGAGTCATGCAATTATTGTCATTCGTTCTTTTAAAGACATGAAATAATAGTCGTACTCGTCAGTCAGTGCAAGAAACGCAAACGATTTTTACTTTAAACCTGATATAACCCTGCATTTTTCAAATTTGATTTCTCAGGTAAATGGGAAGAGGCAGATGAAGGTATACGCCAGCTTGCATCATCGGACCGATGGGAAAGTCAACTATTGAAGGCTGAAATGTATTTCTTAAAGGGTGATGCGATGGAGGCTCTCGATTCTTTACAAGACGTATTAGATTTTTGTAAAACTGAAGACGATAGTTACCATTTCATTTCATTGCGACTGAAAGCCATGGTACTCATGTCCCAAGTACAGCAATGCTTTAGTAGCGTGCAGTCTGCGAACATTATGCTGTTGAACGAAGCTTTAGCCTTAGCAAAGAAGTATCACTTGCATTATTGGGCGACAACTGTTGAAATGCACATAGCCAATGTACAGTTGAATATGGGCTGTTCGAAAAACGCATTAGTTCTAGCTAGAAAAGCGTTACCTTTCATTATGGCGCACGGTAGTGCGTATGATTTAGGAAGAGGTATTTATTTTTTCAACTCAAACTTAAGTGTTAAAAAAACAAGAAAATAATTTACTTTTATTGTTCCAGCCATGTTGCTGTACACGAAATGTCGCATAGCTTCAGCACCTATATCAGGTGAATCACGCACTAACGTACTGCAGTCCTGCTGTGAGGCCCTAGAACTAGTTAAAAAGAACTTCACTAAAGTCGGAGCTCATTCTCGATTGGTTCAAACTCTGTATTTGCAGGTATTTAATTATTGTATGCTCAAACTCAATCATTAACATTTAAATATTGCCAAGACGTATTCATTGCCAACTGAAGTATTCCAAGTACATTTCTCAACTCGACGACTTATAAGTTCACATTGTTATAAATATGGTAACTCTTATTTAATTTTGTCTGAGCTGGTGTCGTGTCTGGAGCTCATAAAATTGTTGTTGTTGTTGTTGTAAATTCATAGTCACAAGCATTGGAGGCCATGCTAAAAAAACGTCAAATAAAAAAGGGTTCATTCTAAATTGAAATAATTGGGGACAAGCAACACACGGTCATCAGACTCAAATTAGGATTCTCTACTTGTCCTGAGATAACCGGGGACATATACTTAAATAAGTTTAAATATATACAGAACACGTAGTCGTTAGCTCGTATCGTGTTTAAACATGTTTGTACAAAATATGAAATTTGCAATTTTTGTGTGTTTCAGGCGCATTTGTATAATGATATTGGTAATCAATCAGCTCGGAATCAATGTGCGTGGTTATATAGACAACTTGATCAACAAAATCCAATCGAAGCAACTAAAATGTTATTAGTCATGTATTAACAACAATACCGAATTGTTACATACCACTAAATTATATTGAATTGGATTTATAAAAAACATAACAACATTCAAAATATTTTATTAAATGAAAAAAATGAACATGTCACTTTTTTTATAACATTCACATTTGAAGAAATATAGTAGTTTACAAATCGATTTACTTAATATAATTTATCATTTAATACAGCTTTTTTTACAATTTCATTCATTGTCACCCTTATATCTCTACTGAGGACTTCCGCTACTAGAACTTTAGTTTCAGGTTGCCTTTCAGAATCAATGTAGGCAGTTTCGCCTAATATGGGAGTGTCATTCCAACAGTGTCCCAGTGACGCTTGGGATTCGCATATCCTGCCAAGCTGCAATAGTAAAGATGTAATATCTTCTAGTAGTGATGGAAAGGCGATGCATATCCTTTCCAGAGACTTGAGAACCGGTTGGAATAATTCCAGACGCAAATCACTAGGTAATACAGATAATAGTGTTGAAAGAGTATTCACACATAGTCTGGCTATTGACATTGCTTTAGGTAAAGCATATTGGATGGACAAATGAGATACTAGGTCAACAGCAAATATTTGCTTTTCAAGAGAGGCTTGGCTTAATAGCTCTGGTATAAAGTCTAAACAGATGTGCATTGATGGAATGCCTTGTACTGTTACTGGTAAAAGTTCTCGGGGATAACCTTGAAAATGCACAAGTTTTGCTAGAGATGGTTCTGATATAAATATTTGATGTAAAAAAGAACAAATTATGCTTCGGACTTCGCGAAGGGACCACATAAGTTCAGGTTTTTTTTGGTCATCTAGTGTTTCTAGACAGGCTTCTAATAATATTTGAAGGGCCGCGCTCTCTTGAGCTGCAACTAAAGCATTTTTTAGTTCTTCTCTTTCTGAATCGGAAGTTAGTTGGCCACTTTTTTCTAATAAAGGTTTATCGAGTAAGTGACGTGATAGTTGACTTCTAGAAGCTGCCAAACTTGCTTCAAGAATTCGTAAAATAATTTTTAATATAGGTCCACATCTGTATACTCGCATATCGCAACGCAGCACTTGTAAAGGATCAACTAAAACATTTTCTTGTGTAATAGTAACATTCTTAATGCCCATGCCGTTAATATCTAGAAGAGCGTTGATCGTCATAATCCACAAACATCGGGGTAAAACAGTATTGAGTCGTAACCAAACTTCCCGATATAACTCTTGTATATGTCTAGGAACTTTATCACCTAATACACTTTTTATATATTTAACGAATATCTCAGCAAAAGGCCAAATGTCTGTAGGATTTTTACTTAACATCGCTTTTAAAACTTTTCCTGTTTTGTACGGATTATCATCAATGTTTAGGAATCCATCGTTTATTGTGGTTTCGGAAAGATTGAAATCGACATAACAGCGACTCATATCAGCAAACACTTGGTCGTCCATCCAGTCATCGACTAAAGATAATTGCGGGAAGTGTGTTGCTAATAGTCGTAATAGTGGACTAAATAGACCTCCATAAGAGAGTTGATTTTTTTGGGCTTGGTGCAATAGATATTTTATTGGCAATTCTGATAAAAATGCTGCTGAATAGCTTTTCACCTTCCTACCGTTAGCAAGCAACGTTGCCGTGTTTGACAATCGCACATCTTCGTAGAGTAGCAAATAATAAATCAATAATAACTGCGAAGCTAACGTTGGTTTTTCTAGTCTTATTTCTACAGATTGTTCAGTATTATCTATTTCCATGGGAGTTATTGATTTATTTTTTACATCAAAATTTGCTCCAAAAATAGAGTTTCTAAAAACCTTACGGATTTCTTCTTCCATTATAGGTTTGTTAACATATTCGTTAGTACCCTTGTTGTTTACAACAAGGATAGAATTGACATACACCTCTACCAGTGCTGGCATAACAGGATGTAGAGGTGCTGTACAGTTACATATTTGTCGGTAAATCCAATTTTTAATTGGCACTTTGTGTTTCGAAAATGCTCTAGATTTTAGTAGTTGATGGATACAATGAACTGGCAAATATCCTGGAATATTGCTATTGAGATTAGCTGTTACAGGAACTTTGACTGCATGAGCTGTCACAACCTGCAAATGTAATTTAGGCGATCTAAAAAATTCAACACAAAGTATAACGAAGTTGCCGTAGCCTAAAGGATAAGAGCTCCGGTGCATTGGTAGTTGCATGCGACTGTGTCGGTGTTCGAATCCCGCAAGCAAGTAAAATTTTTCTGATGAAATATGTACTTAAAAAATGTTCACAAATGATTTCTACGGTGAAGGAATAAATAACATCGGGTAATAAAAGTCAAGGCCGCAAAAATTACAATGTGCGTAATGACTTGTGATAGGGCATTCTGTCAGCCCGCACAGTTAAATACCACCACTCTGCCTATTTGTCCAATGAAGCAGTAATGCGTTTCCGTATGAAGGGTGGGGCAGTCATTGTACTGTAATAACTGAGCCTTAGAACTAATGTCTCAAGGTTTGTGGTGGGTGGCAGAATTTACGTGTTAATGTCTGTGGGCCCCGGTGACACTTTCAGCCAGGAGAGCTGGGAGTCGTCCACCCACCTAAGCAATAAAAAAGTACTTGTAATATTCCTTGATGTGTTGTAATGTTACCTGCTCTGTAAATATTTCTTGTGTAAAGGCTTGTTTTATTCTAGCCAGCCCATTAGGTCTTACTGGAACACGCATACCAAGTGTTGCACACACTAGTTCACCTACTGCCGATAGTTGTCCGGAATGGAAATGTATGGCAATCAGCAACAACATCTCACCAAAAGATGCAGTAACACCAGAAGTGCTATAAAACAAAAATCAATGTCTTAGATTTGAACAGACTGTGTACTTTTCAACGGTGTTAAATCTAGATAAAAATACAATATTTATCATTATAATTTATTATATAATTACAATTTTAATTTTTTTTTATTGCTTTGATGGGTTGACGAGCTCACAGCCCACTTGGTGTTAAGTGGTTACTGGAGCCCATAGACATCTACAACGTAAATGCGCCACCCACCTTGAGATATAAGTTCTAAGGTCTCAAGTATAGTTACAACAGCTGCCCTACCCTTCAAACCGAAACGCGTTACTGCTTCACGGTAGAAATAGGCAGGGTGGTGGTACCTACCCGCGCGGACTCACAAGAAGTCCTACCACCAGTAAAAAACAATAACAATAACGAAGAATCACGGACACCATCATCAGGCCACCAACTAGGATTCTTCTGGATTCACGGGTGGTAGGACCTCTTGTGAGTCCGCACGGGTAGGTACCAACACCCCGCATATTTCTGCCGTGAAGCAGTAATGCGTTTCGGTTTGAAGGGTGGGGTAGCCGTTGTAACTATACTGAGACCTTAGAACTTATATCTCAAGGTGGGTAGCGCATTTACATTGTAGATGTCTATGGGCTCCAGTAACGACTTAACACCAGGTGGGCTGTGAGATCGTCCATCCATCAAAGAAAAAAAAAAAAAACTGTAGTTTGGAAATCAGAGACTGACTATATAAGTATTAAGTATAATAAGAATTAATATATAATAAAATATTAGAACTAATTTACCTTTCGAAGTAGGCTTCCTCTTTTACCAACCATTGGACCCATTCTATAGCTTTTTTCTCATGATCTGGAGCAGCTAAAATCATAGTCAATTAAATTAGAATTTGTACTGCTCATAATTTGAAAAGTCTTCTTTTACAATTTCTTGGTAAGTAGCAGGGTGTATTGTGAGCCTACAGATGTAGGTACTATCATCCTGCCTATTTCAGCCCTAAAGCAGTCAAATATTCTGGATTGAAAGATGGGACAGTCATTATATAATACAATTCAGACTCAATGCATGCAATGAATGGTGGCATTCACATTCTGATGGTGGCACATGTCTAGTGGCTCCAATAACAACTAAATACCAGATGGGTTGTGCCATTTATCTATGTTGTAAAATAAATAAATCTTACCCATTAAGGATGGACATGCTAAAATCATACATAGACTTAATGAGACAAATCTGACTCCAGCAGGGGTTGGGGGAGGTTTCTGTGTCACTAGTCTTAGTAACCAAGCTACTTCATCATCCTGAAACTTAATACTGGCAATGCCCCTCAATGCACAGTACAATCTTAGTAAAGCTGAAGCATCTACTCCAGCTGTGGCAGCTTTTAGACGAATTAATAATTCTTGTCTTAACTTTGTCAATGCAGCATGACCATCACCTTTACCTCTTTTGTGTGAATTTCGTAAAAATGTAGCAAACCATCCTCTAGTAGTTTGGTCAGATCCAAGTAACAGACCTGATATAAATGACACCTAAAAATATACAGAACCATTTAAAACAAAGTGTACAGGACTTTGAAATCATATTGAATTAATGAACATAATTGACACAACTGCTTATCTCAGCTATTATGAATTACAAATATCATAACATAGTCAATAATAAACATGTCATGTCATTTTAAGTTCAATATTTATTATTATACTTAATAAATTGATTTTAATAATAACTTACAAGATCATCTTCATGGTGAGTCAAGGTTAAATTAATGACTAAAGATGGTAGACGTGAAGCAGATGCTGCTTTTGCTCTTATGGTGGCAGCAATAGGTGGAAATACAGCACATAAGGTAGCTAATGCCTTTGCTCTGATGCCACCTTCTTCACTTCGTTCAGCATTTAATACAAGTGATTCCGCTACTGTAAGGCAACATTTAGCATTTACATGACATATTTTAAAAAACAGAATTATACATATAGTATAAGATTTTTGTCATAGTATGTTGCAATAAGCAGCTGTCAATTGTGTGTATACATCAGGTGCTGCAATAATTTCGTTACATAGTTCACAGGAACCCTTAAAACCTGGAAAGGCTCATCATTAACAACAAAACAGAGCCTTCCTGAAAGGCTTGAGCCTCCATCAAAATGATGGTCTGATCATGTTACTCAGCAGCTAGAAATGCTGGAACATGGAGCTCTCCACCAAGCAAAAGATATGAATAGATGAAGAGAAACAGTGAGACTGCAGAACAGAAGAGTTCTGCGGTAGGCAGCGGCTTGGCTCTGCCCTAGGCATTGCTGAAGTCCATGGGCGACGGTAACCACTCACCATCAGGTGGGCCGTATGCTCGTCTGCCTACAAAGGCAATAAAAAAATAAAAAAAGTTACAATTCTGAACAATGAAGGAACAACCAAGAGAAGTTGTAATAAAAATGTTTACCTTCCTGCAACATGTCAGGTTGATTTGCTACCACCCATGATATTATAGAAGGGCCCTTATTTACATAAAGGAGAACCTCAACCACATCACAGATATTTAGTAAATTCGGTATTTCAGCTAAACTTATACATATAACATCTGTGATTTCTTCTAAATACACATCATTATCAAATAATTCAGAGGGCTTAATTGTATAATCCGCATTTGTATTTTTTGTCTGATTGAACTCAACTAATTGTGCTTGCATTTGTAATAGTTCTGATAGAACAAGGCGAACCCTCCTAGAAGAATCAGACTGTTCAAAATCACTTGCAATACCATTAATTATATTTGGAATTAGTGTTGACTCAATGCATTGCGATCCACTTTTTTGCCTGAAAACAAAAATGAATTTGGTAATCAGGTTAAGAAGTATTAGACTTAATTAATTCTCAACTTAATTTTGTCAAGCAAAAAATTTACCTCATTTGTTGTTCTTTTTTTACATCTGCTTCTAGAACATGAAATTCTATAGATAGAAGTGAAACTATGAAATTTACTAAATCAATGCCTGAAAGTAGTGTAAGTATATCTTTCTTAGCTTCTGCACAGTATCTGGTGATATCTAATGGAGATATCAAGGCCATTCGGACAAGACATGGTATTATGGGTCTTATTTCATCAGGACTACATTTCATAAGACCCGGAATATCAACATCTTTTAGGGCTTTGAAAACGTGTGGTTGAACTGGTTTCATGAATTCAATATCCATTATGAAAGTATATTATAACACATCACAAGCTTTTAATATTAATGTTGGGAGTAAAACACAAATCTACATAAACATAGTAGATACTTGAACTAGCAAATTGATCACAATTATTAAGTTCTGTTGATCACTAAAATACAAACACCTTTTTTAAGGGATTTTATGACCTGGTAACTAAGACCTTTAAGACAAGTCTTATTTTAATTTGAATGAAATCTTTTTTATATGCAAAATTATATTATGAAATGAAATTATGTTGATTGATATGAAACATGGGATGAAATGAAAACGAAATGAAATGAAATGAGATGATATAGGATGAACTATAATCTCTGTAAAATGGTGGTTATTTATTGAGACTGGACTTTTTGGCGGGAACGCGAGGAGTGAAGTTGTGTGATTTGTTTTATTTTGTCCATTTAGTGTTTCTTCAGGTTTAAATTTGTAAGGCTCAGTCAGGAGGAAAAAGTGTGCTAACAGCTGCAGGAAGCACCCCCGGAGAGGGCCTAATACCTAATATATTATAATAATAATATACAATAATGTAATAGATTTCGGTCAAAAACGCGGCATAGTGAGAAAATTTGGCGAGAAATTAAGCAGGTTGATTCTATTAGCTAATTTTCACGAAAAAGCGTCTAACAGCACTGATAGTGGATCGGGTAGATCTGTTGGGACACGTTAAGGGTAAGTTTGTTTTGCATGAGCTGGATCAAGAGCACAGTTAGCGGCTGCCATGATGAGAAAGTTATGGCGCCGAGCCGCTGCGTCGCGGCACCGTAATAGTTGCGAAATAGCGCTCCGCTCTGCAACTATTTCGGCGCAAGGCCCTACGGCGGCGATCCTGAATCGAAACTATCTTTTAGGCTTAATCTCGTGTTTTTTATTGTTATTATTATAATATTTATAAGACGTTTCTACATTAGCATATTATATATGCTAATATGCTAATGCTTAGCCGTACCTATGCTAGTTTTGTATAGTATCACCTTTTACGAAGGGACATTTTACTCCGCTTGCAGATCATCGGGTAAAGTCTGCCAAATAGAAACACGATGCGGTCACGGATAGCCTTAATATGAGGACACAAAATTTGCATCTAACTGCTTTTCGGTAAATCCTATAGTCCTCAATGGTTGGGAAGACGGGACAGACGGGGAAGTTGGGGACTATCTCTGACGAGATAGTGTTCTGCTATTATAGGCCAACAATATCGAGCAATTGCATTATAATGGTGGCTGACCTACGATTTAAACTAAAATGCGAGCGTGCGATGCGTGCTTTTGAACTAATTTACCGGTTTGATTTTTATTTCATTTTCAACACGGAAGTCCTTCGTAACGAGTTCAGTTAAATAAATATTTCTTTCGGAAAATGATACGTGTCTGCGGAATTTGAACATCGGCATATTCAATCTTAAAGAATGGTCAGCCAGATGTATTCCACCTGAACTGTTCGAGCTGAATCCACACTCCCGCCCACCTGGTTTCAAAGAAAAACGCCCAATCTGGTGCGTGCTTAACCACCTGAGAACGGGAGTTGGTCACTGTAATCAACTGCGGAAGAGATGGGGCTGGACGGAAAACGAATGCGGATGCCCAGAGCAAATTATACGCCACATTGTCATGGAATGCCCACTAACGAGATTCGCAAGCCAAGTGGAAGATCTCAAAAATGTAACAGAAGAAGCTATCGATTATTTCACAAAATGTAAATTTAAATTATAACCACGCAGTGTAAACGAATGCCATACGATAAATAAATAAAATAAAATCTTGTTTGATATTCTATCTCGCGTGATACGAGTACACTGGGCGACTTATTGAGTCTTATTGTTTAGGCCACGACTATTTTCTATAGAAATTTATACCTACCTGTCGCAGGATTTAGGCCTTGGCATAATCGTAGAACTCGATACAATTGGGTATAGGTAAGATCACGGACTGCTATGAAGGAGTAATGGGGCGTAATAAAATCATAGTGCAATAATTGTATTGTGAGCTCGTAACGCTAATTATGTGCAATGGTGTAGCCTATTTTTGGTATCAATTGGCAACAGCTAAGTTTCTTTGTTTTTTAAACAATTTTACGTCATCGTATTGATAATCTATTAAGAACATGTGTTAGATATGTTACTTGTGATAATGTAAAAAAAATATATTACTAGTAAAGTACCTATATATTCGAACATACTTTATATTTATATTTTTCTGGTAGTAGGATATGTTTTCATACCACAGTAGGAACCACCACCTTGCTTATTTTTGGCGCAAAGGAGTAATTCGTTTCGGTTTAAAGGATGGGATACCCGTTCTACTATACATTTGATAGGTAGTAGGTACTCGTGCTTCAGGACGGATACCTAGAGGCATTCACGTTATGCTGTCTTTGGCCTCCGATAAGCACATAACAGGTGGACCGTGAACTCATCTGCCATTCTATCCTATAAAAAACAATGTACTATTAAAAAGTTGTAAATAAAATGTGTTTAGAGATTAAAAGTACAAAAAAATGTTAGAATTACCGAATGAGAATTAGAATGAGATTAATAAGGAAAGAACTAATCAATTCGCCACTAATTTTATCCGACTGCAAATACGCCATAGAAGTATTATTAACTGATTTAGGCTCCACTTATACCTATGTATGATATACTTTTATTTTATTTTACTAACAAAATGCTGAATGTATGGAAGCTGAAAAAATTCTCATTTTTATAATTTTTCTAATTTTATACATATCTAAAACATATACAAAAATCAAAACGTAGGCATGTGGCACAATCGCCATTTTTTGGGTTTTATTTTGGTATTGCCTTTTTTGGTAACTTTTAAATGTGTAACATTTATAAAAGTAAGTACTTAAAGTCTAACGAAGTTTTTCTAATACACTGAGATATGAACCATAATGAGAAACAGGTGAAACATTAAACCAGTGGAAGGGATACATAACGATCAAGTAGGTATATTAGTTAAAAATATACAATTTCATAAGCAATTTCTCGGACAGTAGTCCCCAATTTAAGTAGGTATATGTTGCATGTACATATTATTATGTAGTTAAGACACAAATGAGTTTAAGTTTATGTATTTCTATAACTCGGATTTGAAAAAACCTCATTAAGGATAAATACTGAAAGCAAAGCTGTTTTCAGCAATTTCGAATTCAAATTAAATTACCGTACAGAAGAGACAAAGAGCGTTGTGTTCACAAAATGCGAGTAGAATCAATGTAGTTCGGGGCTGAGCGCAGAGGGCGCGTGGGGCGGCGCGGTGAGTGCGGCGCGGTGGGCGGCGCGGCGGTTGGCGACGGCCGCGGCAGTCGCGCGCGAGCACGTGCGCGCACCGCCTTCGCGCCGCCCGTCCTGACTGCTCCACCACCCGCGCCCTCACATCTCAACACGCTCAATAATAAGGCAATTTAGTGCACTACAGTGTTCTGTTTTACTAAATAATTTATTACTGAAATACTCTCAATAGCCGCTTAAATTTTTACGAAGGATCAGTTCCGCGGTGCTTTGAATTGTAGGTCAATAATTGAAGTTCATAGTGGCTGCTTACATCATCAAATTCTTCAATGATTTCGGCGGGAAACAATAGGCATAATATTCCATTTAATAGGAAAAATTTGTTTCGATTGGTACATACATAGAACGTTAGTAATGAATTAGTATTAAGTCAAGAAACTTAATTCAAATAAAAAATCCGACATTATACTTAACTAAGACTAGAACTCGTAGAATGATATTTGTCTATAGTTTAATGTTTCATATTATCACGTTGTCATAAGCAATCGTGTTCTAGAATATAAACAAAAAATAAAAATACTTCATCTTATTCGTTTAAGGCAACAGCATGCTAGATGTGAGTTTAATGAGATCCGGTAAGCCCTTAGTAGTGGATGTGTCACGAATTCGTTTGTTCCTCTATCTCCAAAAAAATATCCATATATAATGTGATCAGCTGATCATTATTTTTCTTTTGCTTTACAATTACTTACCGTTATAATCAATAAAAATGTTAATACTTCACTGTAAATTGCTAAAGGAACATACTTTAGAAAATATCTTCAATAAATATTAAATTTAAATGAAATTGTTTTAAACTGTCCAAAATTAGACAGACTATTAAACATTTTCATATTATTCTATTTTAAAACTTTAAATCTTAAAATGTTTAAAAAGAGATTGTTCAGATTTACAAGATTAAGACAGATTGAACATTGAAACCCGCTTACGTTGGGAAAATAAGCACTAGCAACAAGTGCTTTATCGATCTTTCGAGATTAAGTACTAAAGGTTTTAGTAGAGTATTATAATATTTTATTATTTATAAAACAAAATCTTCTCAAAGCATCAACGTTGTCATCATTCTAAGAACAGTCAAGCTTAAAAAATCGCGAATATAAATAAAGTGAACGTTGAAATTTGAAGTCTTATTCTTACAGTTATGGTTCTATGCGACGACTTCAAGCACAGGTTCTTAATTTGGACCCTAGATTTGTTTGTATTTATGTCTCTCGATTTTTATTCAAATGCATGTAGAACAAATCAATATGATACGACTGAATACTAATTACAGCTGAATATGATAAAGTTAACGAATTCTTGTCAGACCGAAAAATAAAAAGGATGGTTATTTCATTCCTGTGGATATGCATGACGCTCTATGCCGAGTTTTTCCGAATAGATTTAGGGGATTTGGAATTAGGGAGTTAAATTGAAAGGCAATGAGGATACTAGTACCACGGTCATAAGAGGGATGTACTAATACTAATTAACAGGAGCTTGAGGAGATCGGGATCTTCTGCTTAATATACTATTATCATCAAGATAGCCTCGCATATCATATGTAGAGATTGTTTGATTTTTAACTATATGTTTTTGAAAAATGTTGGCAATGCCGTATGGGTAACGCAATAAAAAGCCGGAAAGCGGATCGCGTCGCTTTGTTGCACTTTTCAGTTTGCTTCCTATAATTGAATTTCGTTGTAGGCACAGTGAAATGGTGTCCCATTGCCTTGTCCACCACACATTGGGCACGTTCGCATTGAGGTAGTAACATGCAAGCGAAGTACTTCAGCCTCATTCTAGACAGTCGTTGGATCTTTCGCGGTTATTGGCTGTTTGGGTCCAGCTGCTTGGCACAGCCATCGCATTAAGCCGGGTTCTTCCGTAAGCGAGGGTCCTTAACAGACGACGCACCTCCTCTATGTGGTGGTGGTGCGGTCGATGGCCTGCGTATTTTCCCCATATGCAGCTCCTGCACGGGGCCAGTTCCTGATTGTGAAAGTAACGAAGTTACAACAGCCGCAGCGCTCCAAGATGATCCTCTAGTAGTGGGTCCATTTTCTCCATACACCCTGATACTTAGGCCATCTTTTAAAATAATTCATTCAGATCTCGTGAATAATTTTCCATGCGCTGAACTG